TATATAAAGTACAATGTAAGATAGTCCTTGATATATATTGATATAGGGGAAAATAACTGTTTTTATATCTACTTCTCTTTTGTTTAGATTGAAGCCTGCAATAAAGAAGCAGAGAAGATAAATTCTCTTATAAACTCAGACAGTCCAACTATTGCATCTCAGGTGCCATTGTCAGGGCTTATTACATCCGAAGTTTTTATATCATCAACTGTAAATTCAGACTGTACAAAAAATATTTCAGATATTTTATGTTTATATTCATGTCTCTTGCTTAATGTTTTATATATGTTCTACCATCTATGATATGGTTTTATTTCAAACAGTTGTATTGCTTTATAAAAATTGTATTACCTAAGGTCATTAAGGTCTTTTTATAAGATAAATTTAAACTCAAACATCCAATAGTCCAAATGAAAGAATTGTTTTTTTGTGTTTGCAAATACATTCAATGACAATGACATTGCAGATGACAGCTCTATTCATTTTTTAAACTGTATATTTGTATAGATAACTTGCTTAAATTATATTTCCTGTCAGCTCCATGTCAGCACACTAATGGGTTAATCCCCTCTCTCCTCCCACCTAACAGGATCTTAACTCATAAAAGAGATTCAGCTGTCCCAGCCCATTGTTCCTTTTTTTTCCTCCTGCTTCAGGATCGAGCATTGCAGCTTACCTTGCAGGGATAAACTCCTTGTAGTCCACCTTCGTCGGTGCATGAGGTGAGGTCCCCCGGCAGTGTCTAAAGGTCATGTGTGTGGGAACCCCGCTGATGGTCGCGGGGCTATGCCAAGGGATGCTCCCGTTGTGGCTAGTGTGGGGGGTCTGTTCAGCGGCAGCGTGTCTCGGCTGCCAACGCTGGAACCCGGTGCGCTCCACGGGCGCCTCGTTCGGCGCTACTGAGCAGGTGCAGTAATGGCCGTGCGCTCCACCGTCTCCGATGCGGACGCTGTGCGTTCCAAGGGCATCTTGTTCGGCGCTGCTGCGCAGGCGCAATAATGGCCGTGCTCTCTGCTGGCTGCGGGGTGATCTCGGAGGGGGGCGGAGCTACGAATGGCCGCTCTGTTTAAATTGAAGAGGGTTGCTTCCCGTTCTCAGGTTCAACCGGGCACCAGTCGGGACGCAGAGCCCAGGCCGGGCCCCTCAGGAGCCAGTGCCGCTACTCGAAGGGATCCTCTGGAAGACCGATCAGGCTCGTCATCTGAGGAAGAAGGTGAGCCATTTGATGGTTTTGACTTTGCTCTTGTGCAGAGGTTTGTTAAAGCGGTCAGACGGGCTCTCCTTTGGGAGGATGCTGAGGAGCAGCCTGAGAAGAAGAGGCGTTTCTTCAAGCAGGTCAGAAAGGAAATGCTTTCTTTTCCCTTCCTGGACGAGCTTAAAGATGTGATCACTGACGAGTGGAGTCAGGTAGAACGCAAACCTTCCTTCCGCAATAAGTTTTCCAAATTATACCCGTTTAAAAGGGAAGATGTGAAACAGCTGGAAGATTCACCTGTCGTGGATGCTGCGCTAATGCGGCTTGCCAGGCATGTCACTCTCCCGCTGGATGATGCCGTCACCTTTAAGGACGTGCTGGACAGGCGGGTTGATCTGGACCTTAAAAAGGTCTATCTATTGACCGGGGGCGCTTGCAAACCTGCGGTTGCTGCGGCCACGACTTCCAAAGCCCTTGAGGCCTGGGTGGACAGCGCAGAGACGGCAGTATCAAATGATGTCGGTAAAGCCGATATCCTGGAGCTGCTGAAGCACATCAAGCTCTCCTCTGTCTTCTTTGCAGAAGCTTCCTTAGACATGGTTAAATCCTTAGCTAGGATTATGTTATCTGCTGTCACGGGAAGGAGAGCCCTCTGGCTCAGGCCTTGGCTGGCAGACCCAACTTACAAACAGGGTTGGTGTAAGATCCCTTTCGAGGGCCAGTCCCTGTTTGGAAATAAGTTGGATGCTGCAATTGCGAAGGCAACAGGTGGCAAATCTGGTTTCATTCCCCAGGACAGGAGACTGCTCAGACAGAGGAATGCCTTTTCCAGAAAGGCGGCCTTGGACAGAGGAAAGGATGCTCGGTCCTATAGGCCAGGCAGAGAATTTCGCAGACCATGGAAGCCCAATACTTCTTTTCCGAATTCTAAGAAGAGAGGCGCAATGGCGAGTCAGGGCCCCCAAAAGTCCTTTTGATGGGGTGTCCGTTCAGGCCGGCCGGGTAGGTGCGAGATTGGCCAGCTTTCGGCAGGTTTGGGCGGACCACGTCACGGATCGCTGGGTATTGAATACGGTTGCACGAGGCCACCATAGGGGCTTTCACAAAATCCCCCATCCCTTTTTTCTTCCAACAAAGATCCCTGTTTGCCCAGGACAGAGGGAAGTCCTTTTTTCATGTGAACAACCTAGTTGCCCAGGGGGCAGTGGTGGCAGTGCCCTTTCGGGAACGCTTTTCAGGCGTCTAGTCTCCTCTCTTTCTAGTACGAAAAAGATCGGGGGACTGGAGGCCGGTGATCGTCTTGAAGCGCCTCAATCACAACATCAGGAAGCAGCACTTCAAGATGGAGTCGCTGCAGACGATTTTGAAAGTGGTCCAACCGGCAGATTGGATGCTTTCCATAGATTTACAGGACGCTTATTTCCACGTCCCAGTCCGGCATTCTTTCCAAAGTTTTCTTTGTTTTGCTCTGGGCCACCTCCATTATCAGTTTGTCTGTCTCCCCTTCGGGGTCACGACCTCTCCACGAGTTTTCTCCAAGGTTCTTCTGGCCGTGATCACCCTGCTGCGGGAAAAAGGGGTACGCGTCTACCATTATCTAGACGACATTCTCCTTTTGCATCAGGACCGGGAGCGTCTGCTGGAGCATCTCTCTCTAGTGATTTCTACTCTGGTGAATTTCGGGTGGCTGATAAATTGGGAGAAGAACCATCTTGTTCCCACACGAGTCTTAGTTTATCTGGGAGCCAGGATAGATACTCTTCACAGCACAGTGTCTCTCCCTCCGGAGAAGATTCCGATCATCCTGGATCGGCTGGCCCCGGTCTTATCAGCGGATCTTCTCTCGGCCACTCAATGCCTGCAGGTGGTGGGCACGATGGTGTCCACAATACCTATGGTCAAATGGGCTCAGTGGAGGTCCCGCTCCTTTCAGATAGGGTTCTTGATGCAGTGGAAGTCGGAGGACGTCTCTCAGTTACTTCGGGTCACAGCCCGCATGAGGGAGGGTGTTGCCTGGTGGCTGCAGGAAGAAAATCTGCTCAATTGCCAGTCACTAGATCCGACAGAGTGGTTAGTGATGTCCACAGATGCCAGCGAGTCAGGCTGGGGTGCCAGTTGTGCGGGTCAGGTAGCCCAAGGCCAATGGACGTTTCCTGCGAAGGGGATGGTTTCAAACGTTCTGGAGTTGAGGGCGGTTTGGCAAGCACTACTGGCCTTCAGCGGACTTGTTCACGGCAAGTCTGTTCTGCTGCAAATAGACAATACCACAGCGGTGGCCTATATCCGTCGCCAGGGTGGGACACGCAGTCTGACGTTACTGGCAGAAGTGACTCCGATTTTGGAATGGGCGGCGGCCCATCTTCCTCACCTGTCAGCTGTGTACATTCCTGGTCGTCTCAATCATCAAGCGGATTATCTTTCCAGGGTCCAGCTGGACAACAACGAATGGTCCCTGCTCCCTTAGGTCTTCCGACAGTTGATGACGTCGTTCCGTCCGGAAGTGGATCTCTTTGCATCCCCCAGTCAATTGCAAGTTGGCGAAATTCTACTCGAGACTTCCATGCCCCCTGGCGTTGGCCACAGATGCCTTGACCGTGAGATGGTCGTTTCGGACAGCATATGCCTTTCCCCCGGTTCCGCTCGTTCTCAGTTTTCTGCAGAGGCTCCAGAGGGAAGCAGTGACGGTACTGGCGGTCATACCAGACTGGCCCAGGCGGCCGTGGTATCCTCTGCTTCGCCAACTGAACACACAGCCTCCGTTTCCGTTGCCAGTGTTGCGGAATCTTCTGTCTCAAGGGCCCATCCTTCATCCGGACCCGTCCAAGCTTCGGTTGACGGCCTGGGTCTTGAAAGGCAGAGGCTGTTGAGTATGGGCTGCTCGACCAAGGTGGTGGATACGCTTTTGTGCTCCAGGAAACGCAGTACGAACTGCACCTACGATCGTGTTTGGAGGAAGTTACAGGAGTTTGCCTCTACTCGGGCCTTTGATGCTGCGGCTCCTCATATCTCTCATGTGTTGGATTTCCTGCACGCGGGGCTGGACATGGGCCTCAGTGTTAGTACGCTCAAGGGTCAAGTATCTGCGATTTCAGCATTCACGGGACTCAAGCTGGCCTCTGATGCTCTGATTATTCAGTTCTTCAAAGCGGTCATTCGCGTACGTCCTCCTAGACTACCGGTATTTCCTACATGGGAGTTACCATTGGTGCTGGACTTTCTAGCCTCCGACGCCTTTCAGGGTCGGATCTCCCTCTGGCGCATCACCCTGAAGGTGGCCTTTTTGATCGCTATTACCTCTGCTAGGAGGGTGTCGGAGTTGGCTGCATTGAGTGTTAGGCTTCACTACGTTTCTAGCCGGCAGGGTTGTCATGGTCCCTATGTTTGGCTTTGTCCCTAAAGTCGCTTCAACCTTCCACATGAGGCAAGAGATCGTTTTACCTATCTTCCACTCTGAGGACGGCGAACACATACACCGTCTGGATGTGGCAACTGCGCTAAATGCGTATATTGCCTCTACAGCCGATATAGGAACCACAGATCATCTCTTTGTCGTCCCTTCGGGTGCCAGGAAGGGCTCCAAGGCCTCTTCTAGACTCATCGCATCATGGGTTGTCCAGGCTATTACCTCAGCCTACAAGGCCAAAGATTTGCCTGTTCCAGTGGGGGTCTCTGCACATACGACCAGGAGTGTGTCCACATCTTGGGCTGCGGCTTGTCGAGTTTCCTTGGAGACCATAGAACAATGGGCTGGGACAGCTGAATCTCTTTTATGAGTTAAGATCCTGTTAGGTGGGAGGAGAGAGGGGATTAACCCATTAGTGTGCTGACATGGAGCTAGACAGGAAAGGAAAATTGCTGGTAAGTATGAATACAATTTTCCAGTTATATTTTTTGCAGCTAGTAGTAGTCATCTTCAGCTTGGCTTGTTTTGTAATATTGACATTGTTTCATCACTCTTCTTTATGGCTTTCTCATTTTAAAGGAGTTTTCAAAACATACCCTAGCAGGATCGCGTACCTGACTATGAGAGCAGCCGCTCCTTGCTGTCCTGTCCTGGCTCCGTTCCTTTTCGGCCGGAGCTCTGCAGTTCTGAGCTCCGTTCTCTGCAG